TTGGCAATGCAAGACCAAATTTTTGGGCAATTTAGCTGTTCCTTGAGAGCAGTCTGTAGTTCTAGCTCTAAATCCAAATGACTGTGTGATCTTATAAGATTTCATTTTACCTGTAAAGTGAAGACATCTTTTCTTTTTATCATTTGGTTTTGTTTTCAAAGACAGGGTTTCTCTGTGTAGCCCTGGTTGTCCTGGAACTAACTCTGTAGACCTGGCCTCGAACTCAAGAGATCCACCTGCCTCTGCCTAATGCTGGGATTAAAAAGGGATGCGCCACCATGACCACCCAGCAAGACGTCTTTTTTTGTTTTGAAGGTTTTCATTAACTCTAGAATTCCAAATTACGAGAATTTTTTTAAACTTTAGACTTAGGTAACAAGATTTATATTGAGCCAGGCATGGTGGTGCTCATGTTTAATCCCAACACTAGGGAGGCAGAGGCAGGTGTATCTCTGAGTTCAAGGCAGCCCTCAGAATGAATTCCTGGACAGCTGGGGCTATACAGAGAAACCCTAGCTGGGGTGTGGGGTAGTCTCATCATTTTTTTTGGAAAGTTTATAATTAGAAGTTGCAAAATGTAATGCAAGGCTATCCCTGCAAAGGCGTAAGTATAGGAATATGGGCTGCATCTTACTAATGCAGGCAGTTAGATCTTGCAGAAGAGATCAAGAGCACAATCACAGCACCGCTTGCCTAGAGAACAATTCCAGGCCTGACTTGGAAAGAAGTAAGGGCATTGTTCTTGACACTAAAGCATTCTTCTGAGACAGGGTCTCTCTATGGAACCTTGGTGTCCTGGAACTTGCAATGTAGATCAGGCTGGCCTCTACCTAGCTCACAGAGATACACTTGCCTGTGGTTCCAGAGAGCTGGGATTAAAAAGGCATGTTCTTTAGAAATGCATTCTTAAATATCAAGCTCCATTCCTGAAGGAGAGAAGCATAAATCTGTTTCCCCTGGTAAACAACAGGGACTAAGGCCGGTGATACAGCTTAAGGTGGGTGGTGGTGACACCTTTTTAATCCCAGCACTCAGAGACAGAGACAGTTGTCACTGAGTTTGAGGCCAAGTCTACAGCAAGTTCCAGGACAACCAGAGCTATTCTTGTCTAACAAACACACACATACACGTAAGGCCCTGAGTCACTCCCCAGCACCTCACAAAACACATATATACTGGCACATATCTGTAATCGCGGCACTCAGGAGGTATCAACAGAAGAATATGATGTCCAAGGTTATCCTTACGCACAAAGTGAGTTCAAAGCCAGCTAGGCTACAGCATCCAGTATACATGCACTCTTGGAAAAGTACAGTACGAAAGACGAGGAAGACTTGACCATTACTGCCCTGCAGGGTTTCAACTGACAAAACACACAAGAGGGACAAACAGTATCATAGATAGCATGTGGAGAAAGGAAACACCTCTTTTCCTATGTATCTAATCTTGTTGAAACAGGATAAGTGTCTAAACACATCTAAGAAGACCTAATAAGAGAGAAAAGGGCAGAAGAGATTATTCCTGAAATAGTAACAAATCTGCAGATTACATTAATACAAGGATCAAGGAGAGAGTCTGCTTTCCTCTCCTCAAAACATTTGAGAAAGGGAAGCTGTGACGACTAAGGAAATTGGAGACACAATGGAACAGAGTAAGCTTACCAACACGTGATTCAATCAGAGCACTGGTCTTACCACAAACCAGGGACCCAGGCTCCAGAAAAATTCTGGTAGGGCCACCCCCGCAAGTAGGGATTTTAACACAACTGCTTCGCCTAACAAAATCTCCTAAAATTCCACACTACTGTCGAGATTTAGAGACTTTTGGCTCTACACAGTGGCACATGCCTTTAATTCCAGGGTTTGGGAGTCAGGTTGATCTCTATGACTTCAAGGATAGCCTGGTACACATAGTGAGTTCCAGGACAGCCAGCGTTACATAGCGAGACCATGTCTCGAGACAAACACACAAATAAAAAAGCAAACAAAACAGAAATAGGGATTTTCAGCTACTACTAATTTGAAACAGATCTTGAAATAAGACATAAAATAGTTTATGGCATTTTAAAAAACAGCTAATTAATGGTAAAATAAAAGATAAATTCAACAACTCTCAAGTCCCTTCTATGTCGTTTTATTGACTTAAGCGCTTTATCTATAAAATGCACCAAAGTGACTATGGTCATTAAGTTCCTTTAAACCAGAAGGATTTTTCACTAGCTAATAACACGCTAAAAAGTTTAATTAATTCTAAATGCCCAAAAAGACAGAAATGGAGAAATCATCAATTTTCCTTGTGAAAATTTACTAACACTAATTTCTCATTAACCAGAATTACTCAAACTTTTAGAGTAGTGATCTGTAACTTTTTTTAGAGTTAATGGAACATTTCCTCCTAAGTTTTTCTATTTCCTAACATCCTTCCTCTTTCTGTTTCTGTAACTTAAAAAAAAAAAGTGAAAAAGAAAAACTGCTGTATTTTTCCATGAGATTTGTCCTAGTCTGACAGAACACGGATTAGCACCAGTTAACAGTCCACAAACTTATTTTGCTTAAGAAGCCAACTGGATAAAAATACTAAAAAGTATTTAGAGAACTGACTTCAGTACCAAAGAGATGGCTCAGGGGATGGGGCACTTGCCCCTACACCTGAAGACCTGAGTTTGATCCCAGGGTCCCACATGACAGAAGAAACAACTCCCACAAATTATTCTTTAACCTCCACACAAAGGCTGTAGTGTTTAATAGCAACACACCCCACACACGCTAATACATACATGTAGTAAAAATATAAAAAGAGAAAGATCTATTTCTTTTGTTTATTTTGTTTCGAGACAGGGTTTCTCTGTAGCTTTGGTGCCTGTTCTGGAACTAGCTCTTGTAGACCAGGCTGGCCTCAAACTCAGAGATCCACCTGCCTCTGTGTCTCTGCCTCCCAGCATTGCCTGGCTTGAATCATTGCTACATCAGCTGTAGAAATCATTTTGTTAGTGTGTCCCCTACCCCCATGTGTGACAGACAGGATCTTATTCTATAGCCTAGGCTGTCCCGAAACTCATGTTATAGCCTATACTGGCCTCAAACTAGGAACAGTCCTCCTCAGGCTAAATTCAAAAGGTTAAATAAGATTACTATGATTGGATTTGGTAAGATGTTTTCTTTCTTTTTTTTTTCTTTTGAGAAAGGGTCTCTATGTAGCTCTGGGTGTCCATGATGAACCTCACTATGTAGAACAGGCTGGCCTCAAACTAACAGCTCCTACTGCTTCTGTCTCCCAAACACTGGGGGTTAAAGGTATGTGCCACCATACCCAACCTCTAAGAGGTTCTTAAGCACCAAAAGGCTAGGAAGCGAGGCTATTCTTTCCTCATTAAACAAATCAAATCAAATCACGTAAGAGAAAGCACAGGCTGCAGCTCCAGGTGTGACAACAGTCAATAAGAGACTGAAGTGTAGTGGCACACACCTGCAACCCCAGCCCTGCGAAGGCTGGGGCAGAAGAACTAAAGTTCAAGGCTGTTAGGCGAAAAGTGGCCAGATCCCACCTCAAAATACTGAGGGGGCGGGGCACAAATTACTTAGTAGAAAAGAATATTAAGAATTACCAAAATAGCTATCATGCTTTCATTCTTTAAGGTGTTTATACATAGACTCGCTTGTGATTATGACTTAAGTCCTCTTTGGAGATAGGTGGTGTTGTTGCAGCCTTTAATCTCCCTCAGGAGTCTGGTTTACAGAGTGAGTTCTAAAACAGCCAGAGCTACACTGAGAAATTCTGTTTCAAAAAAACAAAACAAAGTCACCTTTTTTGTCTGCAGCCATACTACTCTGAACACACTCAACTATTATAAAAGCCATCTTTTTTGTTAGGAACACAGTCCCAGTTCTTAAGAGAGACTAGCATTTGTTCTCAATTCAGGATTGCACAAATCACTGGTTAACATTTGAGTATTATATATCCCAAATAGGTCAAACTATAAACTTTACTGTTCTGTTCTCATTTTTAACGTAGCAAAAACAGTAAAACAGGTTCTCTCCCTGTTTAAGAAATATTTGGAAGAAACAGACTCTCGGGTGTGGGGGTACACTTGGGTCCCAGCACTCAGGAGGCAGAGGCAGGAGAATCTCTGTGAGTTCGAGGCTAGCCTGGTCTACAAGAGCTAGTTCCAGGACAGGCTCTAAAGCTACAGAGAAACCCTGTCTCGAGAAGCCAAAAAAAAAAAAAAGTGAGGGGCAGGTGAGGGCACAATATGAGAGTATCTGTTTAAAGGGAATATAGAAACACTGTAAAGCAGAAGCATTTACCTTTTAAGGTTATCTGGGAATGACAAAGTCAGAACTACAGACTAACAAAAATAAATGCCAATAAGCTTTTTCACAAAGCCTAATCTCACAGTATTCGAAGAATTCCAAAGCAGCAAAAAATGTAACCTAACTCTAACTCTAACGTTAGAATGTCCGAGGCACTGCTTTGTGCCAACAGGCAAACACCTCCCAGCTTCTAAAATGTGCCAAGACACAAGTCACAGTGACAGAGGCTGGCCGCGCAAAGCCCGAGTCCCATCTGGATTGCAGTCATTTTATAAATGGCAAGATGTATCTCACACACACACGCACACCCTTGGGCTTATTTTAAAGCCCGATTTCAATGTGCGCTTTTTTGGGGGGTATGCTGATTAGCAGAAAAACAGCCTCTATACCTTAGATATCTAATTTGGTTTTGGAATATTTCTTTAGTGCCATACTACCCATTAGAAGCGCCCCCCACCCCCACGCCCCCGCTTCCAGTTATTTTTAACCTGACAAATGGAATTAACAGGCAAGAGGCAATAATTTTAGCGTGGTGCTAAAACGCGTTCAGTCTGTTGCATCGTCACTCAAAAGACCACCGGGCAAACGGGGCACTGACGACAGGGCAGGACCCGAGGTGCCCACCAACCTCTCCCCAGGCCCACCCCTTTCGACCGAACAGGGTCGCGCCGCAGCAGACAAGAGGCTCACCTCTGCAACTCCTCCTCCTGGATCCTCTCCTCGTCCCACACGAAGACACCGGCGAGCGCCGCCATCAAGGCAGAGGCATGGCCGGGAGGGCCGCGCAGCCGGCGCCAGAGGCGTCCGAGCAGGACGCAGCGCGAGCTCTCCGAATACAGGCGACCGTAGAGCTGCGCGATCTGCTGAGCTCGCCGCACGCGCAGGCCCGTCACGAAGCGACACTGATTGGCCAGCACGGCCAGCAGGCCCCCGCCCCGCGCGCCCGCCAGCCAGGCGGCCAGGGTGGCCGGGGGCCTCCGCGGGAACATCTCGGCCTCTGCGGGTCCCCGCGCCTGCCGCTAGGGCCCCCCGGAGACGAAGGGCCGTGGAGCCGGGCCGTCCGCTTACTTCCCTTAACTGGCCGACCCTGAGGCGGCCTCACGCTCCCGAGGCCAGGAGCCAGCCCTCATGCCTCTCTGCAGAAGCCGCTGAAGTAGCGCGGATTCGGAGGAGAGCGCCGCTGCACGAGGCCTCCCCGCTCCTGGCGACCCGCTAGTCTGCGTGTGCGGAAGCTCCCGGGTCTCCGCATCCGGTGCGCGGGAAGGAGAGAGGTGGGCGCCCCGGGCCGCAGCAGCAGAGGTCCCGAGCGCCCGCGTCCGCCCCTCGCGCCGAGCGCGCGCAACCCAACCCGTCTCCCCTGCCCGCGCTCTGATTGGACGCAGCCCAGAGACCCGGGCGCTCATTGGCCGAGCCGAGTGTTCCTCCGCCCTTGCCCCGGCCGCTAATTAGCAAGCTAGGTGGCGCGGCGCGACGGCCAGTCAAGGGCGCCCGAACAGTGACCCTCGGACCCCGGCGCGGCCGCCATTCGGGGACGTCCCCGACCGCCCGCCAGAGAGGCGCGGTCAGGTGTGCTGTTCCTTTGTGCTGAGCGGCCCGCCCTGTTGACCGTCTCCACAGTGCTGGGAGGAGCGGGTCTGTACTATGGAGGGCGGTGCACACCCTACGTGAACAGGGACCTGCCGGCCTGGGGTCACCTGCCGCCGGGACCTTCCGGGACCTCCTCGGCGGAAAAACCTCCTGAGCAGCTGCAGCTGGGACGCTGCAGGTTCGGGGTTCCGGCTCCGAGAGAGAAACAGTGGCCCGTCCTCAGGGCCGAGGAACACCTTGTAGAGAATGCCACAAGGGCAGGTGACCTGTTGCTATCTGAAAATGCGCTAGGCCTTGCCTTCCAGTCTCCAGTCTCCGTTTGACTCAAGGAGGCAACAGGGTGGGAAAGTAAACAGGTTTCCCAAAACCTACTTTGCCATGTGCAACCTAACGGTTTCTTTTCTTTCTTTCTTTCTTTCTTTCTTTCTTTCTTTCTTTCTTTTTTTTTTTTTTTTTTTTCGTTTTTCGAGACAGGGTTTCTCTGTAGCTTTGGAGCCTGTCCTGGAACTAGCTCTTGTAGACCAGGCTGGCCTCGAACTCACAGAGATGCGCCTGCCTCTGCCTCCCGAGTGCTAATGGTTGCTAAATGGAGTCTGGATGCATCACTATTCTAAAATGGGGCGTGGTGGCTCCTGCCTCTTATTCCAGCACTCTGGTGGCAGAGACAGGAACATTGCTTCTCAAAAGTGTGTCTCAAAAGTAAATTAATCAGCTGGAGGAGGTTCCCACCTTTAATTCCCAGCACTCAGGAGACAGAAGCAGGCGGATCTCTGTGAGTTTGCGGCCAGCCTGGTTGGTCTACAAGAGATAGTTCCAGGTCAGGCTCCAAAGCTACAGAGAAACCCTGTCTCAAAACAAACAAACAAAAATAAATAAGTCAATAAAAATTCTATGTCCAATCTTAAAATGATAGTGATAGCTGTCCCCCAAGAAGCGTTACACTAAGTTGCTTCTGTGTCGTCTTTTTTTTTTTTAATATTCATTTATTATGTATACAATATTCTGTCTGTGTGTATGCCTGCTGGCCAGAAGAGGGCACCAGACCTCATTGCAGATGGTTGTGAGCCACCATGTGGTTGCTGGGAATTGAACTCAGGACCTTTGGAAGAGCAGGCAATGCTCTTAACCTCTGAGCCATCTCTCCAGCCCCTGTGTCGTCGTTTTTTAAACAAAACAAAAACAAACTTAGGAATCTTATTAGCTGGACAGTGGTGGAATCCCAGCACTCAGGAGGCAGAGGCAGGCAGATCTCTGTGAGTTCAAGGCCAACCTGGTCTATAGAGTGAGTTCCAAGACTACCAAAGATACACAGAGAAACCCTGTCTCAAAAAAAAAAAAAAAAAGGAAGACTTTTATACAAACGTTTTAATCCTCTCCATCCAGTAAAACCTTTAACAGGGGCCCACTGCTCTATTCCAGGGGTTTGATGACCTGGAGCAGCGACTCCTTTCCCCTTCCTGCAGTTCTGTGTGCTAATTCTTTGGACTAGCCAATTGCACAAGAGTGAGGTTGGCCCTCTGCCAATGGGGAAAAGATACAACCACCACCTGGGTTAGAAAAAAAAAAAAAAAAACAAGTGCACTTTGTATCTGTGCATTTTCTTCAGATTAAGCCCTCTTGGGTAAGAGTATTTTGCCTTGTCCACACACTTCAGTTGCAGTGGTGGTCTTTTTCTTTGCAAACCTAAACATTTTGTGATTTTTTTTTTTTTTTTTTTTTGAGACAGTGTTTGTGTAGCCCTTGCTGTTCTGGAACAAGCTCTATAGATCAGGTTGACCTCTGCCTCCTGGCGTGCACCACTACTACCTGACTGACCCTAAACATTTCTAACAAGGAGAACCTGCAGACAGCTCCCAACGCAACTTCTTCAAACAAGTAAATTTGGAGTGTGGAGGCACTTGCATATTTATACTGTAGGGACTTGCTATTCTGTCTGTGGGTGGGCACAGTCCTGCAGTGCTAACTCATGCTTTTTCACACAGAACAAGTTTTAAAATGGCAGAGGAGTCTGGTGTGATGGCTCTTACATATAATCAACCTCAGCACTCAGAAGGACTGCTTAGAACCCTAGGCTATCCTGGGCTGTGGCGTGAGACCTTGTTGATAAAGACCCAAAAGAAAGCTGTTGGGGAGCACGGCCTAGAAGCAGAGAATGTAGTAGTCTGCTCTGCTGCCAGTAGGAGGCAGCAGCTTCTCCCTGCCTGTCGACAGACAAGAACCTTCCTTGCACAGGATTTAGGATTTTACTTTTACCCTCAGTAGTGTGTGCCGTCTTAGATGTTTGTACCAAAATAAATCTTTCTCCAAAGGTTGAGGGGGAAGGATATTCTCTGGTGACTGAAAGTTAGGCCTCTCCTGCACTATCTGGGCTGAATTTAGTTTAAAAATTGGTTTTGGGGCTGGAGAGATGGCTCAGTGGTTAAGAGCATTGCCTGCTCTTCCAAAGGTCCTGAGTTCAATTCCCGGCAACCACATGGTGGCTCACAACCATCTGGAATGAGGTCTGGTGCCCTCTTCTGGCCTGCAGACATACATACAGACAGAATATTGTATACATAATAAATAAATAAATATTTTAAAAAAAGAAAGAAAATAAATAAATAAAAATTGGTTTGTGGCCGAGCTGTGGTGGCGCACGCCTTTAATCCCAGCACTTGGGAGGCAGAGGCAGGCGGATCTCTGTGAGTTCGAGACCAGCCTGGTCTACAAGAGCTCGTTCCAGGACAGGCTCCAAAACCACAGAGAAACCCTGTCTCAAAACAAGCAAAAAAAAAAAAAAAAGATAACTAAAAAAAATTGGTTTTGTGTTTATTTCTTCTAGAGAGCAAATTAAGGAGAAATTTGTAATAGAAAATAGTAGTGGCCTCTGGAGCAATGAGAAGGTTGGAGTTTGTTGCTGTCTGCTTCCGTTGATTGACAGAAGCCATTGAGGTCTGCTAAAGCCCCAATGTATCCATGGTTTGGGGTTGCTATCTGCCTCATAAAACAAATGGAGAACTTGTCTTCTCTGAAAAGTCTCCCACCTAAGTGGCTTTGACGTTTTCCAGGAATATTGGGGTCTTATGAGGAGTAAGGGTTTTTCAGTTGAGGTCAAGAGAATACAGCAACTCCAACTAGCAAATCCTGAGTGAATTACCTCCAGAACATGCATCTTTCATATAAGAGGATAAAGCTTAGCAGCTAAAACTTACTTAAAATGTTTTCCACTATTCAAGATTACAGTCATCAAGAACACATGCCCAAGGGCTGGAGAGATGGCTCAGTGGTTAAGAGCATTGCCTGCTCTTCCAAAGGTCCTGAGTTCAATTCCCAGCAACCACATGGTGGCTCACAACCATCTGTAATGAGGTCTGGTGCCCTCTTCTGGCTAGCTGTATACATAATAAATAAATAAATAAATAGATAAATAGATAAATAGATAAATATTAAAAAAAAGAACACATGCCCAAAACAATAACATGAAAAACAAGTTCTTTAAAATTTCCAAATAGATGTTATTCTAGCACTGAGGACTTCACTGATGTTGGATACTTTATCCCAGTAGTTCTAGAACTAAAAATTGAGGGAGCTGGAAAGATAGCTGAGCAGTTAGGAGTGCTTGCTGCTATTTCTTACAGAGTCCAGTTCTCACCATATTGAGTGGCTCACAACCACTTGTGATTCCAGCTCCAGGAGATCTGATGCCATCTTATGGCTTTTGTGGCGTGCACACACACGTGGCATATTCTCATACAGGCATACAAATTTAAACAACAAAAATTAAAAAAAAAAAAAACTAAAGAAAAACTGAGGGGTTGGTGAGAAGCTCAGTGGATAAAAGCACCGGTTGCTCTTTCAGGTTTGGTTTCAAACACCCACATGGTAGCTCACAACTGTCATTCCAGTTCCGGGGATCTGATACTTTCTTCTGGCTTCCTTGGGGAGTGGGCATGCACATGGTGCACATGCATACACCCATACACATAAAATAGCAATGGACCAACTGGCTTGCTGGGCATGCAGAACTTGAGAATGCTACTTTCTGTTCAGGTACCCACTCACAACTGACAACTTGGAGTATTCAGATGCTGTGTGCTGCCTCCAAATCCAAAGTCACTAGGTACTGTTGTGGAATAATCTTTTTGTACACTGTGAAGATTTGTCACTCGCATTGGTTTAATAAAAAGCTGAACAGCTAACAGCTAGATAGGATTTTGGGAGCAGAGAGGACGCTGGGAAGGAAAGGGTGGAGGTTCAGAGAGTTGCCAGCCATATGGAGAGGAAGCACCATGAAGAGTAAAGGTAACCGAGAAACAGAAAATAACAGATTAAAATATATAGATTAATTTAAGTTGTTAGAGCTAATTAGTAACAAGATTAAGCTATGGCCAAGCTTTCCTAATAAGAATCTCCATGTGCTTATTTGGG